AACTTGAAAAAATTAAGAGAACATAAGTATACATATACTTACTATATGTGTGTATAATGTTGCAAAAGTTATATATCAGTGTTGCAAAACCTGGTGTAAAAATACAATATATTATCCATGAACCTCAAGAGAGTAAGGAAATTAGGATATAATTATAGGTAGTTAAGGTTAGCTAGTTAGCTAAGAGTAATATAAGAAGTTAAATGAGGTTCTATAGGGGCAATATTCAAGACTATCATAACTTTGTCGAATAATCATTTCTGAATTATAAGCAACAATTTAAATATATATCATTCAATTTCGATTGCACACTAAATATTTTTTAAAGAATGTTTCTACATTGCATTAATTTGTGAATTCTTACAAATATTTAGTAAATGTTCAATTTTTTTAAAAATAGCCCATTATGTAGGAGTATCTATTTTCCTACTTCATATATAATACATTCTCTTGATATATTTGTATGTTTATGATTTTTTTCTGTGAAATTATATATGTTAAACTCAAGTGGTCTGATCTCAACATAAATCTTCTTCCACGCAATATAGGTCCGAATTGTTTTAAACATTCAATTATCGCTAAAAATTCCTTTTTCATAACAAAATAATAATTTATAACTCCTATTAATTTACCTTTATCATCTACCTGTTCTAATGTAGATCCAATCGCTATATCCGATGGTCTGTCGTTACTCGAGATTGTTGCGAAAAATCTGGTAATATTAAAAAATATTTCAATATTTTATATTAATCTTCCTGCCAGCTGCAGTTGGTTTTAAAGAATTCACATTCATTTTCTTTTACAATCAAACAGTTACCTTAATATTTGTAAGAATTTTCTTAAATCTTGCTCATGTATGCTTTCTCAAATAATTTGATATCTCTTTTAGTGATCTGGTTCAACTTTTCAAACCATTTTAGTCCTTTTCCTTCTAAAAAGATTGCGACAAACAAAACTTTAAAATGTTCTGGAGAACTCTCAACTCTAATTAAGGGTGGAAATTTTAACTCTGATATACTGATCTAACTTGCGGCTGTACAAATTGCAAGGGGTATAAATAATTCTAATAACTACTATTCTACTATAATATAAAAAGCTACTATTCTGATACTTTAAGCTATCTTATTTGTGGGTTGACGACTTTTAGCTAATTAAATACTATTTAGGACCTGATTACCTTCTTTTTCCACTAGGATTCATAGGGAATCGTATCCATATTTACATTTTTACGATTGTATACTTCTAGAACATGATTATAAATAACTATATTCATTAACATGTCAAAAGTTTGGGCGTGTGGCGTAGTTGGTAGCGCGCTCCCTTAGCATGGGAGAGGTCTCCGGTTCGACTCCGGACTCGTCCATTTTTTTTTTATATATTCTATATTTGAATATAGACTATCTATTTAGTTAGATCAAAGACTACTTTATTTACTTCATGTTTATCAAACATATCGAAAGCTTTTTTGGATTCATCTAACGTTAATTTACAGTCAATAAATTTTGTAAAATCTGGTTTCAAAACCTCAAATAAGTCTAAGGCCTCAGGAAATAATGACCAAGCATGGCATCTTCCGAAAGAAATATTGATATTTTTCAAGTAACAATCCAATCCGGTAAATGGCAACGGATCATGCGCCATTCCAATGGAACATATAAAGCCATTTCCTCTGACTGAATCATAAGCCGTCCTTAAAGCAGACGATGCACCTACGACCTCTAAAACAACATCAAACCCCACATCATGAGTTGATTTTTTGATGAAATTAGTAACACCATCCTTTTCAGTCTCAAAATTGATAGTTTTAAAAGCACCAAACCGTTTAGCCTCCTCTAAACGTGACGTGACACTGTCAACACAAACGACTTTTTCAAACCCGAAATGCTTAAGAACCCTTAAGGCACACAAGCCAACAGGCCCCACACCTAATTGCAAAATTGTAATATCCTTAATATCTTGTTTAACGTATCCATCAGCAGACTCATTTTTCAAATGGTTTAATATTTTCTTGACTCCATAATAACCAGTAATAAAAATATCTGCCATCATTACATAGACAGCATCATCTTCGGCTGAATTGCCCTTTGGTTTCTTGATTAAAGTTGACTTAGCATATGGGATTCTTACATACTCAGCTTGGCCTCCATCTAAACCCACTTTACCGAAAGTATTAGTCTTTTCACATTGCCCCGAATATCCATGTTTGCAATACCAACATTCTCCACACTGAATAGTGAATGTACTTAATACATCATCTCCAATTTGAAAGTCTACATCGGAGACTTCAGAACCTTTGGATACAATAGTACCCAAAAATTCATGTCCTATAATTTGATCCTTTGATCCCAACTTTATATGTCCTCTGTAGGTATGCAAATCAGTTCCACATAGGCCGGAATATTTAACCTTCAAGATAACATCTTTTGGATCTTGAATTTTTGGGCTCTTCCTAGTTACAGTAGCAACTTCATAAGGCCCACTAAGTACAATGGCTTTCATTGATTGAGGAATTGTTACACTCATCTTAAATATTGCTTTTGTTATTATAAATTAATCCACGGTAACACTTATTTTTCACTTTATCAGAATATGCGAGGGGTGAGTTGTGGAGAGAATAAAATTTGAAATTCCTCTATACAGAAAAATTTAAACCTTCAAATATGCATTTTATATAGATAACTATATAATATTTCCATGTAGAGTATTCCACACTATGCTACCTAAACCGGCATATATATCTTTATAATGAAGAACCCGCTTTCCCATATTAATTGAAAAGAAAAAGAGGACATTGAGGCAAATTAGGTCGCCACCAAGTGCATAGAATAAATAAAGTACAACGGTAGATATAGTTAATGACCATGAAACATTCGACTCTGTACCTCCAATTGAAGGGAAAAAGTCCCCCATGATTCGGGAAAATTTGAAAATTAAAGAATCTTCGCTAATACTACACTCAAAGTGTCTCTCATCACTGAAGTAAGAAACACAGTTCATATTTATTAAGCTGGAAACCCAATTATATGCAGCAGTTGTGATTATATCCCAAGTGGAATATGCTTGAAAGTCTGCGTCCTCCTTAAAATAGAAAATACCTTTCTCTTTCATAGCTATGGTTTGATGTCTTTCAAGAAGACCTGAATTATTTCTGGACATGAAGGTGATTATGTCCCGTAAGAAATTGTTTGAAAAAGTAAGTAAATTACTGAAGATGAATAAGTGTCTCAAAATATTATGCAAATAAGCACTGGATGCTATAATAAATAAACCAAATCTGATTATTCTCATCAAGGTTGTAATTGCAATCTTTGCGAGTCTAACTAGTGATTCTTGAACATTATTTGTACCAAATCTTCTCCAAAGCCGGCGGAAGTGAAAAATTGGAAACGGAAGCAATCCAAACATCCATAAACAGGAGATATAACGACCAGAATCTTCACGTTTTCTTCTATTTTGAAAATATTCATCTATGTTTCTAGCTGTCAACAACTCATTTATCCTTTCTAACCTTTCATTTTGTCGTTGTAAGGGCACATCCGCAAACAAATCTGCGAACTGTCCTCTCCTAAAAATCTCAACGAGGTCAGTATCGAGCTCTCGGATTATATTGTTATGATCTAATATATCAATATCTTCATCTTCTATATGCATTATTAGTTGTATTTGTTATGGGGTATCTTAAGAAAAGGTTTTATCACTTTATCTTTGTAATCTTTTGAGAAATCATATTGATCTTTGAAGATGCTATCTGCAGTCTTGAAGGAATCTATTATGTCGTTACTATTACCTTATAAACTGATATATACTTATTCCGTAGAGAAGATTCATTCGAAATCTTCTACTAATTTCAAAATGAAATCTGGCATTTTCCCATGATATCTAATGAACGAATCGCTCCATAAGTAAATTAATTCTTTACTAAACTCAAGATGTTCTTGAATTATGTTTCCAGGAAGCTTGATGTGTCCCTTTAGTTTATGTTTGATTTGATAATCAGAGATAAATACAAACCGCTTTCCATTATATGACGAGTTTTCATCGTAGAACAGATCAACAAGGACTAGTTTATCGACGTTATCAAAAATTTGAGGAATTAAAAATGTATTTCCATTATTAATATCCCAAACATTCTCCTTTTCTTCTTCATGCAAAGAGTCCCACAATGCGTGTATTTTGTATACTACTTCCCACCCATTGATATAGGTTTGCATTAAATTATCGTCTGCAAAAGTTTTGTATTTTTGCTCCTTTGAAAGATTCAAAGGACCATAATCATATTCTATTATGAAGTAATTTCTCAACTGTACGAAGAACCAGAACGTCTTCAAATGAATACCGCCATATAATAACATTCCCCATATAAATCTGTCGTAAAGAATTATAAAGCTAGGGTCATCGTGAGCTTTTAAAGTTGCAGCAATTAAATATTTTCTTATCAGTTCTCCCAAATATGATTTGTCATAACGATAGCAAGTAGTAATTACTATTTGCTGGTCATTCTCTACCATTACATTTGTACCAGTTATTACTGATAGTCTCTCATATATGAAACCACAGGAAATGAAATAAGCACTAAGTCTACCACTCAGGTATTCTGTTGTAATATTAATGTCATCAATTGCAACCAATGTAGATAATATACAACCTAATTCTTGCTCGCTGCAATCCAATTCACCTATATTATAGCATTGACAGAATAGAATACTGATCACACGTTTAGTAACCGACGACAAGTATTCATTTTTATTCGTGAAGAATTTAAATTTTTTATTCAAGGCTGCGAAAAAATTTAGGATCCATTTAAAAATATTAGTGGCCTCTTTATATTGCTCATTCAAGTACTTTAGAAATCCTAAAACTACTTGATGTTTGATTATTAGTCCGCATAGTGACATTAGAGTTCTTGAAGAGCTTTTGTAATTCCATCTATGCAATTGTTTTGCAAGTGTTTTTGGGTCAATAGAATAGTCAATCTCTGGGTGTCGATCTATTTCAAAGTTGATGAACTCATTTATCATATCCTCTTTGTTCTTCAACTCTTCGAATACATATAGTGGTCCCAAGTATTTTAGAGCAGTAAAAATCTTATGTAATGGATCAGATGTATGAAAGTTTTTCGAATTTGATTTCCATAAATTTAAACCTTCAACTGCTTCATCCACAAGCTTTTTAGTAACAATGCAGCACCTTCCTAAAGAAAAATCATTTAATCTCCCATCAAATTTAATGTATGCTTCGGCCTGCTCATGTATTGGAGTGAATTTGGTTTTTATTCTCAATGAGGTTAGTATTATATGATATCTAATCCATTTGTGTCATACATGTACTTACATTTCCATCCCTCCTTTTCCAAAGCAGTCTAGATATTTGTTTAATTCAGATTCATATCTGTTCACTCGTTCCTGAATTCGAGGTACTTTAGCTTCATTTTCACTGCTGATAAGAAGATCCAATTTGGCCATATCAATAAGTTCTTCAAAGGAATATACAGCAAATTCCAACAGGCCTAATTTTTTGAATATTTGGACCAAATACTTTATTAATTTCTCTTTTTCAGACTGATTTGTGGAAATCTCTATTGTAATAGACAATTCACGCAAAGCAGGCCCCACCCTTCCTAGTTTGAATAATGTGAGAGATATAATAATACGAGCTGAAGTGGGTAAGTTCAGATATTTATTTAGGGAAGGAATAAGTGTTAAAATTTCATAATATTCGTTAGCATTAAATAATTTTGATAAGTCATGAGAAACCCTTAAAATATTACTTGATGTGAGTGATTCGTTATCACCCAAGGTTGATTCTTCAGACATATTGTTGTCTGAAGACACCTCTTTATCCGGATCAGTAGTCGCCTCTTTAAAATTGGACATTTGACTAAATAAAGTATTATACGTGGAAGACAGTTTAAACAGAAGTATATTATTATATCTGTGGATGCAAAATCTATAGAATTAAAATAATCGTGCAAAAACCAAAAACAGTCAGACTAACTATTGGCAAGATCAAAGAAAGTCTTTTGGTCTATATGAAGTAACTTTCTCGATGCATTTTTATGACTGATGAGCTTTGGATCTTCGCAGTTACAGAACTTTAATAAATTCAAACTATATTGATA